GTATTTATTTATTTATTTTTGAAGGGGGCTTTGACACAATTCGAACACTGGACAAATGTATTGCTCATTGTTATTTAATGCATAAACTAACGTTAACAAATAGTTTATAATCATTGCACAAATATAAGCAATTGTAACTAGTGAGATAAAAATGTTACTAGTAGTGTAATTATACTGTAAAAAAAATATATATTTTTTAAAACATTATAGAAGTTTGTCTACGTTTTGCAAGAAAATACTTTCAAAATTCCACGTTTAATTCAGTGTTACTTGACGTCCTTTATAATTATTTGTGAACTTTACCATTAATTTCTGAGTGAAAATTTTTCTAATTAGCCTAATTTCCCCCCAGTATACTGGGATTGATACTAGTTGGCACATCTAGCCAATACTAATAAATTGTATAACTCTTTAAAAGATACTGATAGTACTAGTAACATGAAAAGAAACTAACCGGTATTAAGAAATAATAGCTGAAAGGGCTTGTCATACGATTCTGATCTTCTGTCACGCGTTTCTCCGGCTCGCATTAGTGGTGGCCGAGGAGCGGCCCGTATCGTGCTCCGGTCGGTCTTTGAGCCAGTAGAGGAGCCACGTTACCATCGCCGACACCATGGCTAGGATGCTTGCCACCGACAGACAGAGGGGTCCCGTGGGCGAGGGCGGCCCGCCGTGGCTGTGTACGAAAATGAGGCCCATGAAGAGCAGCACTAGCATGGACAGTAAAGAGAAGATGACGCACACGCATCCGGTTGTCAACGCGAGCCGCCTACAGTTTTGGCAGCTCTCGTAGCGCGAGACCGAGTCCTGGGACAGCGTGGTAGTGGTGGACGGCGTCGCGTGACCAGCCATGGACGCCCCGGACGCGTCCTCCTCGCGCCTGAGCGCCACGAGCGCCGGGTGCATTGGTGGCCGGTGGGGCGGCAGAGCATCTTGAGGCACAGGGTCCGAATCGATGTACAGAGGGAAATCTTCCGTGACCTTGGTGTTGTTAGGCAGGTTCTGGATCCGATAGTCCGGTACGGGCGTGCGGTGGCGGCACACGGGGCAGCTGATGCGCCACGGCCGCTCCTCGCACAACTGCAGCGAGTGCAGACACTCCTCGCAAAACGTGTGCAGACACTCCAAGATCTTGGGCGCCCTACGGTCGAGGTCGAAAAAGTTGTAGCAGATTTTGCACTCGTATTCCTCGTAGGGAAACGCCTTGGGTACCGGGAGACCGGGCGACTCCGGTCCGTTTGCTGCTGCATCCGCCGCTGCCATGGCATCTCGCGCCGCTTCACATCCTCCACACAATGGGCGCCAGCCAGTCACGCCAGCCACCTTTTCTTCTCTTTATTCTGTCAGCGAAAGCCGTTAAACCCGGACATTTTATGTGTCAGGGCTTTTTTAAAGCGCTTCATTTAGTCGGGAGGTGATGTAATGCCGCCTTAAGGGCGACTTTATTCGCTCTCATCCAGAACCGATGGGCGGTTGCGAGCGCATCGAGCCCGGAAAGATGCGGGACGCGGGAATCACACCTTAATCAAGCATCAGACACGGGTCAAACAGCGCGAGCCTTTCGGCTAAATTTTGCTGTTTGCGTCAGTGGATTTAACTCCTTCTTTGCTGTTCAAACCTCTCTGTTTTTCCTTCCATGTATCATTCCCGACTCCATGGAATTGAAAGCTGGCCATATCTACCTATTTGACATTTCAACTAGCTCACGTTGTTGTCATGGAAACTAATAATCCAGAAACATAAGGCTTGCCTATTTCAGGTTCATTCACAGACTTCTCAGACACCCTCCATTCAAATAAATAAACATTTGTATTATGTTTATTTTGTATGTGACAACTAGCCCCGGTGTCCTTTTTGCGTTTTATATTGGGCAAAAAATTGTATACTCACAATTTAAACAAAAAATGGAAGTTTTGTCACTTTTCTCCATATGCTAATAACTTCTGACATGAAAAACTGGTAGTTTAATATGAAATCTTTTACTATAAAAACTATAAACTAAAACTATAAAAAGTGTTATTATCATATAAAATATGAAATCGAAATGTTGACACCTTCATTACTGTCAATCACTAATTCTTCATTTTCTGCTATAAATACAGTACTCAAATAAGATCGAAGCCTGAGCTTTATCAGAACATACTTCTCAGACACCCTCCATTCAAATAAATAAACATTTTTATTATGTTTATTTTGTATGTGACAACTAGCCCCGGTGTCCTTTTTGCGTTTTATATTGGGCAAAACATTTTAAACTCACAATTTAAACAAAAAATGAGGAAGTTTTGTCACTTTTCTCCATATGCTAATAACTTCTGACATGAAAAACTGGCAGTTTAATAAGAAATCTTTTCAATATTTCTTCATTTTTAATTTTTACTAATAAAACAAAACATTGAAATTAGTAATCTAATTATAGGTTTTTCCTTAATATTAATTTCCTGTTAGTCTTTTTGTAGTCTTTTGAACTAAAACTAACAAAAGCCATTTGCCAAATGACATCATCTTCCAGGACCAGGAAGTGCATTTTTGGTGGGAAAACAACAACACAAACACCAGGGCCCCAAATATGATTGGACTTCAGTTACCAGATTGGATCAAATCTTGAAAATTATTCTAATTCTAATGGATTATGTAATCCAGTCTTGGTTTTGATCTGGATCAAACCATCAGTAGTGTAAATTGGGACACTTTTTGCCATTGAGATTGCTTGGAAAAAATGGCCAAATTAACCCCCTGTGGGTTGTTAAAAACCTTTTGGTAAGGTTGGGATACATTTGATACAAAACATCAGGAATATTCGGAAAAAGAGGGGATTTAGATTGGATTTCAGGAACAAAATAAAACTTCGAAATTGGTCATATAGGCTAATACAATGTTTGTATTATGCAGTGCATATACAGTGATAAAATAGATGTAGAAGAAAATATTCTTTTAAGACATTTTAAGAGATTCGAAACGAAGGGGGGATGATCATTCTGATCCAGATTCAACTTTTAGAGTTTTAGCAAGGGATTTGGCAATTTCTGTTGTTTTGTGATTTGGTTAATTTGGCTCACTCTTAAACTCTACATCCCATTAGATAAAATGACATAAAAAGTGCTATTATCATATAAAATATGAAATCGAAATGTTGACACCTTCATTACTGTCAATCACTAATTCTTCATTTTCTGCTATAAATACAGTACTCAGATAAGATCGAAGCCTGAGCTTTATCAGAACATATTTCTGAAAATTACTTTCAGATATAGAAATATACGTCATTAAATGACTATAATAACACTAGAATATTCTTTGTTTTTTTTAAGTCACGGAGTCAAAGGTACTGCATGGCAGGAATGACCCACCTGTGACAGGTACGATAAGCAGGTAATTTTCCGTGCGTAAACATGTCAGCCAATCAAAACAGCCATAAGCTTCTACGTCAGCACTCTTTCACGCTCTGCCACCTGCAGCTGTAAAACACAACAGTGAACGCGGGCTGGGCTGGGCTGGGCTGAAAAAGCTCAAAATGTGGGGGTTCATCTCGTACCTGAACAGCCCCGAGCTGGTGGCCAGCTTCCAGCGGTGCTGCGGCCTGGTTCCGAGAGAGACGTGCTCGTATGTTAGTCGAAACGGACTCGTACACTCCAACGGATCCGGTAAGGACGTTCCGGTCACGATCCACCGGCGCAAAGCAGAGCAGGTGGCGAACGGGACGTCACGCGCACACGACAGTAACTCCAACTATAAATCCGCCAGTTTACAGTATGAAACCCAAGGCGAAGTAAGTAAATCAGATTTAAATGAAACTCTTCATTCAGGTGAATTGAAATTGAGAGGCTCCCTAATGTGAAGGCTGTGCTTTTAAAAACAGAAATAGCAAACTACAAGATTTTCCTGTTTTTCTAGTTGGTTTAGACTGTCAGAAGAGTATAAAGCAATTTTTGATGTCTCATCTAGATACATTAAAACTGTTTTCAAAATTCATTTATGTTGTTAATATGTACAATAAGCTTTAAACTGAAAGGCAGGCCACTGACCTAATAACATACTGTCTTTAATAATAATAATAATAATAATATATTTTTTAAAAATATCAATTTTTAGTGTGGATTCAATTAGTTACAAATGTCATTAAACTTTAATATATTTTCATAATCAGGGTGAAATATGTAAAAGTGAAATTTGTTCCATATATGATGGTGCACAGATAAAAATGTGAGTCTTTCATGGTGCTACAATCCTCCAAAATGTTGAAAAGTATGTAAACGGGTTTTGATTTGTGGTTTGTTGATGTGGTGAAGCAGTTTATTCAGCTAGATGCATTTCTCTGTGTTCAGGAGCAACCCGGGCCTCATTATGAGGTGAGGAACTGGCTCTTTTACTTCCTGTTTTTGACATCGGCCACTCTGGGGCATGAGGTCTTTTACATCACCTTCCTGCCCTGCATCCACTGGAACCTTGACCCGTTTCTGTGCAGGCGGCTCGTCAATGTGTGGGCTGTAAGTTGCTGAGAAAATCACACACGCACACACACACCCTGTGATTAAAGGGGTCATATGATGCTTTTTTAAAGATCATTATTTTGTGTATTTGGTGTAACAGAATATGTTGACATGCTTTAATGTTCAAAAAACACATTATTTTTCAA